CTTCCTTCCTTTCTTTTCCTTCCTCTCTCTCTCACTCTCTCTTCCTTTCCTTATCATTTACCAAGTAATTTCTATATACCACATTCCCCCCAAAATAAGGCCTAACCCGAAAATAAACCCTACCATGATTTTTCAGGATGCTCATAATGAAAGCCCTACCTCCAGAATAGCCTCAGTTAAGTTCCTCATGGGGGTGCATGATGGTGCACACCTGTAATCCCAGCACTGGAGAGGTTGAGGCAGGAGGACTGCTGTGAGTTCAAGGCGGGCCTGCACTATATAGTGAGGCCCTATCTTAAACACTCCCCTCAAAAAAGACTGTCAGCCACACAGATGCAATTTAGTGTGTCTGCTGCAACACACAATGGACATATTGAATTATAAAGTAATATTAATGTATAATTAAATATAAATAAAAATACTGACATTCATGCCTAAATGATAAAATAAATTATTTGTAAATACCCAAGTGGGGTGCCTTTGGAAAAGAGGTAAACACCTGTGTAAGTAGATGAACTTGAGACTTACTGCCGAATGACCAGTTGGAGTACAGATACAACACGTGAATGACATGTGCACTTGATAAGGAATGGACATGGTTGTGTCTAACATGAATCTTATTGTTCAGTACATTGTCTGTGCTGTAGCTACACGTTACAAGCAGGCTTCCTGCACAAGAAGTGCTCATTTCGGGGAGGCTCTGTTGCTGGACGTGAGAGATTGGCGCCAATGGTTCTATAGGAAATGGCGTCACTAGAAATTCAGGCTGAAAGCGCCTGCCTGGCAAGCACAAGGTCCTGAGTTCGACTCCCTTACCCCCTCCCCCACAAAAGAAATTCAGGCTGGGATTTGGGGTTTGGAAAGTTAGGACAATGTTTCAGAAGAAAATGACTTAACTAGGCTGGAGTCATAGCTCAGTGGCATAGCACCTGCCTGGCAAGTGCGAGGTCCTGAGTTCGAGTCCCACTAACCCCCCCCCCGCCAAAATCCCCTTCCCTCTGTCCCCAATTCCTTTCTCCAAAATTCCATTTAAAGACAAAAAATAAAAAAACAAAAAGCACTCGGGAGGCTGAGGCAGGAGGATCATTGTGAGTTCAAGACCAGCCAGGGCTACAAAGGGAGCTCAAGGCCAGCCTGAACTGCATAGCAAGACCCTGTCTCAGAAGGACAAAAAAACCAAACCAACAAACAAACAAAAAAAAAAAACCAAGAAAATGACTTGGCTATACTTGGATAAATGTAAATTTTTGTACACAAATAAACGTAATTTTTATATATGGATAAAGGAATAGAAACAGATTGTTGTACATGAATAAATATAGATTGTTGTACATCAAAAAAAAAGAATCCCCTAAAAATAAGCCCTATTATATCTTTTGGAACAAAAATTAATATAAGACCCAGTCTTGTTTTGGAGGAAATATGATACCAAGTGTTAGGACAACAAAGAAAAACACAAGTCCTGGCCTTTCTGCTCGCGCCTGCACGGAGGTGCACCCTCAGGCTGTAGGGTGCTCTTCTTTTCCTACTGTTAGCTGGTCCAGACTCACTCTTTGTAGAGCCAAACAGGCTTTTTCCACCTTTAATAAAACTTTGCTACCATTTAAAAAAAAAAAAAATACAAGTCCTTATTCACTGAAGCAACTTACTGTTTGTCATTAGAGTCTCACAAGTTTTACTATTATTTCTTCTATTTTTCAAATTCCTAATAATCTTTTCCTCTTGGTTAATATCTTTGCCTAGGTGTCCCACAGTTTTAGAGAATGGATAAAAATGAGAAGAGCCAAGTACAGTGGTGCATGCTTGTCATCCCAGCACTTGGGAGGCTGAGGTAGAAGGAGTGCCCCACGTTTGAGGCCAGTCTGGGCTACATGGCAGGACCTTGTTCAGCCCCCATCCTAATCCCCCAAATGGGGAGAAAGGAAACTACTTACTGGGCTAAGTACAAAGGGGTATGTTACATATGTTGTCTTACAACCATCTACAGGCTATCATAACCTACATCCATATTTAAAATGAGGATATGGTAGCTCACTAAACTCCAAAAACTTGTCCACCTCCAGAAAACTGGGGAACCTGGGTGTAGCTCAGTGGTAGAGCACTTGCCTAGCATGTACGAGGCCTGCAGTTCAATTCCTAGTAAGTCAAAAAAAAAACAAAGAAATAATCAGCTAACTTGGATGCAGTGTTCCTGGGATCCTAAATCTAATAGCTTATGTTTTTTCCACTTCTTATTAAGCGGAACTTGTCCCACATTTCCTAAATCTCAGATAAGATCACTCTATCTATCCCCTAATTCCTACTGGGAACCAGCCACCTCCTTTGATTTCCAGGTAGGGTAGTTTGTACTCATCTTACTCTCCATGGGAAATTCTCATAAACCACAGCATTTCCAGCTTCACTGAAAGATCAGAGCCCATGGTCAACCTATCTACCAAATAAAGTGCTTCCCATATTATAAGTACTAGTCTTGTTTCTTCCATTAAACTTTGGGTAGGGCCCTCATCTTTCTCTATCTTTTTTCTTTTGGTATTTCTCAAGGGATCTATGATAGCACCTGTAATAAGCATTCAAATCATCTACTAAATGTTTTCTCTTCATTAAAAATTTTTTTGAGAGGGAAGGCTTTCTTTTTCAGGGTCTCACTATATCTTCCAAGCTGTCCTGAACTCTTAAGTATTGCAAGGTGGTCTTGAACTCATGCTCCACCTGCCTCAGCCTACCAAGCACTGGGATTACAGGTGTGTGCCATCACATCTAGCTCCTTTAACAATTTTATGGGCACACTATTACCCAAACCTTTCTTATTTTACATATTCCTATTTTAATCAAACTATTACATGAAAATAGCCTGTTAAAAATCAAGAGTATAATGCTTATAAAATAAACAGTAATTCCTTGGCTTTCCTCCCTGTTAGCACTTTTTATCTGTTTCCTTCTCCTTTCTTTAATTCTAAAGAACACGCTTGGACTGCTATTTCCTTATACTCCTATTTCCATCAAGTTTAGACATTACCTATTACAGCAGTTGAGGGACATCAGCACACATATAACCTGTTCCCTTCCACACTTTCCACCCTTCCAATATGAAAACACCTCAACTTCAAGCCAACACATAATTGATATTTTCACTGACTGCTAGTCACTACATTTCCTTTCATGAAAAGGTTATGAAGGTAGATTTTTGTTTTGTTTATTTTTTTTGAGACAAATCCTTGCTATGTAGTTCAGACTGGCCTGGAGCTCATTATGTAGCCCAGCCTGTCCTGGAATTCACAGTGATCCTCTTTTTTTTTTTTTTTGGTTTTTCTCCGGTACCGGGAACGGAGCTCACGACCTTGCGCTTGCCAGGCAAGCGCTTTTGCCGCTGAGCTAAATCCCCAGCCCCGATCCTCTTGATTTAGCTTCTCCGGTGGTGAGTTACAGACATGTACTAGCATGCCCAGCTGAAGGAATTTTAATTTGAAATCATGAGCACACACAAGTCACTGATATACTTCAGTGATAGCATGGTATCAGCATGCCTTCTAAAAAATTCTGAGAAACTGTGAGCCTAAAATAGTAACATTCTTACCTCTAATTGTGCTAGTTTTTCCTGAATCTTGCAAAACTGGTCATCGTCCATCTGAACTGCTTTTCTCATCACTTCTCCCATTTCACAGATTCTGTCAATCTGACTTTCAATTTCCTTTAGGGGAAAAAAGGGTGAAAAATAATCTTAGCTACAGATATGAAATGTTTAACATGCAGTATAATTCTTCAAATTTTGTGCGTGTGTGTGTATGTGGTACTAGGGACTGAACTCAGGGCCTTGTGCATGCTAGGCAAGCAGTCTACCACTGAGCTACATCTCCAGCCCACAAAAGTTAATTTAGTTTGGTTAGGGTTTTTTTTTTTTTTTTTTTTCGGTGAGACGGTGTATAGCTATGTAGTCCAGGCTGGCCTCAAACTTGTGGCAATCCTCCTGCCTCAGCCTCCTGAGTGCTGGGATTACAGGTGTGTGAAGCATGCCTGGCTCTTTTCAAAGTTAATTTTAAAAACCTATTACCTTGAAAACAGAAAAATGTCAATAGGGAAAAGAGTTCATTTAATTGAAAGCTGTAGTTACCCTATAGAACACTATAATCTTGAACCATAAGTGAACTTGTGATATTCATAAACAGTTTTTATTTTTGAAAGGTCAACTGTAGCTGGGTATAGTGGTATATGTCTATAATCTCAGAATTCTGGGAGGCTAAGGCACAAATTCAAGCTCAGCCTGGGTAATTTAGTAATTCAGAGAGACCCTGTATCAAAATTTTAAAAAACATCTCTAACAGGGCTGGGGATGTAGTTCAGTGTAAAGGCCTTGGATTCAATATCCAGCACAAAAACAAAAGATAAGCTCTAATCTAATCACTGACTAGATGTTGGACAACCTTTCTTCCGTCCTCTTTCTGCAGGTCTGGAGATGGAACCAAGGGCTTCACGCTAAGTTACATCCCTACGCCCTTCCCTTCTTTTGAGACACTGTGTCTTGCTAAGCTGCCCAGGGTGGGCTTGCAATACTGCCTCTACCTCCTACAGTGCTGGGATTAGAGGTGAGCAGCATCACACCTGGATGGATAATATCTTTCAGTGGTATTTAACTTTGAATATTTTTATTGGCAGGAAGCTTACCGTACCACAGGATGCTTTATCTTTGGATATATCTCTTAGAAATTACTTCTATATGAGTCAATTATTTTTATATGAGTCTTGCCTTCAAGTGTTCTCCTCTGTACCACAGAAAATAAAATTTATTTTTAAAACATCCCTGTTCTTTAAAACTTTTAAGTCTGTAAAATGCATTTGAGAGAGCCTAAGATTATTCCTCACTACATTTCACTGTTGAAAATAACAAGGCTCCACTTTACTAACTCAGAAGTAATATAGTATATATAAATGTACAATGACAAATATAAGGTTCTTAGCAAAAAGAACAACAGGGTCTCTTAAATTAAGTCATAAGCAACCAATGTACAGAAACTATGGGGCCGGGGATGTAGCTCAGCAGCATGGGCCTGCCCGGCAAACGTGAGGTCGTGAGTTCAATTCCCAGTACAAAAAAAAAAAAAAGAAACTATGGTGGTGTTTTTCTGTTTGTTTTTTTCCAGAGAGGATTTTGATAAGTTGCCTAGATTGACCTTGAACTTGTGATCCTCCTGCTTCAGCCTTTGAAGAAGCTGGTATTACTGGTGTGCACTACCATGCTGGCTTAAGCTTTCGCTCTAATAGTTAAAAAAATTTTAATTGTTTTATTTATTTTTTAATTAAAATTTTTTGATTGATTGAGATAAGGTCTCACTATGTAGTCTAGCCTGGCCTTGAACTTGCGATGATCCTGAGAGCTGGGATGGCGGGCATGCACCATGTCCAGCTAGTATGCTTAGTTTAAAATAGTATAATTAGTTTACTGACCACCTGCTCTGTGACAGGTACTGTTAGGGATAAAATGTGAATTCATGCTCCTTACAATCAACAAATGTACAGTTCAGTAAAATATACAGGTAATTAACAAGCAAGTGCTTACTACACACATTCAACACTAACTGGCATTATATTTAAACAGTAGAAGACCTAAACAATCATCAACACCTTGAAAAGAGATCTTGATGAGGGAAGGAGAAACCATAGAGCCATTTGAAAGGACCTGAGCGGCACTTCCTCTCTTCTTTTTATTCATATCTTTACAAAGATATAGCAAAATAAACAATGAATGGAAAACAAGCTTACTTTGATCCAAAAACAAGTACAAAAACAAAAACAATCTCAAAATTTCAATTCAGTTCATTTAGAATTTATTCATCAGAGTTTCTTACTGCAGAGTGAGACTGGTGAGCTTTCAGGACTGGTTCAGCATCCACCGCTTTTTTAGCAACCATTAACTGTAACATCTGTTTCCGGTATTTGCTCATGATGAGTTCCAAAGCATCCTGGTGTTCCTCCAAGGAAACCCACAGCTCTAACAAAAAAATAAAATACTTTGGCAGTGATATGAAAAATAGATCTCAAAGCCAAACTTTTTAACATTTAGCATTTTATGATATTCCATGAACTCCTATGGATCTAAAGTTGTAAAACAGGGTTTAAAGTATTTAAAACCAACCCTGGTGTGGTGGCACATGCCTGTAAACCCAGCACCCAGGAGACTGAGGGAGGAGGATTACCAAAAATCTGAGGCCAGCGAAGTGAGAGCCTATCTAAAACCAAACCAAATAGTTAAGGCCTACATGAAAAACAACTTTCTAGACAGAGGCAGTGTAGTCTAGTAGAAATGATACAGGATGTATAATCAAAAGATATGAATTTGAGTTTAGTTCTGTGACTTGATTAATACTCATAAGCAAATCATTAAACCTCTCTGAGACTATTTCTTAAGCCCACTGTATAAATACTTGCCTTGTCTGCCTCAAAATGAAGATATGAAAATATAGTGGAAGAATAGATGTGAAAGCCCTGTGGAAACTGACATACAATGATTATGTTTCTGTCATTAATAATGTGCTCATCAAGCCTTGAAGAGCCTAATGTAGTCAAGAATATACATATACTGTACCTCAAGGATAAAAGTCTGTAAGCCTGTTTTTCCACCCTGCACATACATATACAACTTTCAATCTTCAGTTTTTACTCTAATTAGTATTTACATATTAAACTTCAAGCCTTTGAGGTTTTGGTTTTTTTGAGACAGGGTCTCACTGTGTAGCCCACGTGGCTTTGACCTCACAGCGATCCTCCTGCTTCAGCTTTCCAAGTGCTAGGATTACAGGTGTGGGCTACCATACCTGGCCTAAATTCTTTTCAGTACAAGCCTGCTCGGGTACGCCTAAAAAAGCCATCTACTAAATTCAACTCCACTGAACACCTCTTTCATAAATTGCACATATACCACAAAATCAGATAACTGTAAAAGGGGTAACTGGACAAACTGTTATGCGATAACCCTCTTATCAAAAGCATTGACCTGAAAATAAGTATAGATGTGCACTTTTGTAAAGTGTTAGGAGTGTTTAAGAACTTTCAAGCTATTACTAGAGATGGAAAGAATCATCAGTACACAAAAGTCCTGACTAACCTCTGTTTTCCTGCTGCAAGTCTCTAATTTGTGTGTTCTCTTGGGACAGCAGAATGTGAGGTTTATATTTGGCCATCTCCTTCACGTCGGATGCATCTTCTTGATGCTGGACAAATAGAGACACATTAAGCATGTTGTAAACAGAACAGCGATAACTGCAGCTGAAGAGGCAGGAGTCAGAACTCCAGGTCAGGATTCTCAGCCCGATCCCGCATAAAGTTCTCATCACCGCTCACCCCCCACCCCCATACAGGGCATAAGCTCCAGCCTGAGATCCTATTTGATACTTACTGCCCCTACCCTCTGCCTGACCTGGTCCGGAAGCGCTGTCCCCGTCTCCCGCATGGCTGCCACCCGTCGGTGCAGCGCCGCAGACTGATCCACCAGCGACTCGGCGGCCGCATCGTGTTCCCGCAGCCTCTCCAGCAGTGTCTTGGCGTCTGTCAGGATCTTCTCTATCGTGCAGCTCATAGCAGTTGGAGGATGACAGCCTCTGATCTGGTCACCTACGCGATTAGCTCAGACGTTGCCAGAGCCTGTCTCAGCTATATACGCGTCACTTCCGGCACGCTGGACAGGCGTCCTGGCCGCTTGGATATGCGCCTGCGCAGTGGCAGCGTCGCCCCAGAGTTGTCCCATTTTAACCTTTTTGAGACTTGCTTTGGCTACTCCCTCAGTTCCCTTTTTGTCTTGGTTAAACTATTGTATCTGGTTGGCCCGAAGTTCTCCTGTCCTTGCGGTTTTGGTTGGTGTGGTTATTGTTTTGTTTTTTGTGGTGCTGGGCGTTGAAAAATCTCTCGTGCTAGTAGAGCGCTCCAACACTGAACTACAGCCTCAGTCCAATGTCCTTTGTTTTCATAGTTTTTGCCTTGTTTTTTTTGATTTAACTTTTAAATATTTTGGTCAGACAACATGCCACCTTGACCGCCCCGCCCCTTCCAGTACTTAGGGATCCAACTCAAAGTCTTAGACATGCTACTTATTTTTTTTTTTTTTTTAAGGTAGTGGGACTTGAACCCAGGGCTTTTGCACAGAGCTGCATCCTCACCCCCTTTTTAAATTTTATTTTGAGCCGGGATAAAGTCGCCTACTGCTTCAGCCTCCCAGAATGCTGAGATTACAGGAGAGTGCCACTATGTACACCCACCTAACACTTTTCCGGCGTACAGTTCAGTAGTATTAGGTACATTCAAATTGTGCAACTATCACCAGATTCCATCTCCCAAACTTTTCATTTTGTAAAACTGGAACTTTCTACCCACTAAATAGCTTTCCTTTCCTACCCTGAGCTCCAAGAACTACTTTCTTATGAGTCTCATTTAAGTGTCTTGTGACAGTGTTTATCTTTTGGGGGCTGACTTATTTCACTTATAAAGTCATTACATTTCATTCACCTTGGAGCATGTGTCAGAACTTCCTATTTGCATCCACATGGTCATTGCAGCACTATCCACAGCTAAGACATGGAAGTGTCCGTCAGTTGTTGAATGTGTAAAGGAATTGTGGGACATAATACAATGGAATTTAACTTGGCCATAAGAGAAGAAAAGCTTACATTTGTGGCATTATGGAAAAACCAGGACAGTACATTAAGTGAAATAAGTCAGACACAGAAAGACAAATCCTATATGATTTCACTTTATTAGGAACCTAAAAAAAAAGTCAAAATCAAAGGATCGAATGATGGTTACCAGGGTGTAGGGAGTAGGGAATACAAGACAATTACATTCTTTGATTCGAAGATTTAGCATTTATAACCCTGAGTATTTTCAAATGATTATGGGTTCATGATGTGTAATGACTGGTAATTTTACTGAGATGGAAGTCTCTCATTTACCTAGCACATAGGACTTCTGCTTTGTGAGTTAAACCATTTTTCATTCGGAAAAAAATTGCCAGCATTCATTTAATTTTCAGTGATTGAGAAATTCCATTTACACTATATTGTAATATAGTACAATAATAGTACTATATATATAATTGTACTACATATAATTGTAAATTCCATTTACACTATATTGTAATATAGTACAATAATAGTACTATATATATAATTGTACTACATATAATTGTAAATTCCATTTGCACTATATTTTGTAGATGGAAATACCACTACTAAAAATGTAATACTATAGATAGAATGATGTCTTACGTTTCCAAAAACAGTTGATATCCTAGAGCAGTGGTGGTGAACCTACGGTGCACATGCCACAGCAGGCTGTTTGTATCTCTGAAAGCTCTAGAAGCGTCACAGCACTGTCCTAGAGCAATTTGAAAGTAATAATAAAAATGAGATATTTTGTGACAAACTTTAGGGGTAAGTTTAGGGCTAGAATCTGGAGTCGTCTTGAGGTAAATGCTGCAGTTGCAAGTGCAGCTGACTGCAAGTGTTCTCTGGGAAAAGAGGAAACGGGTTAAGCAACAACTCAGAATCTGCACAAGCGCCATTTTATTGTTGCCTATGTGATTTTGTCTTTCTTTTTCATAAAAGGCTGTAGGGGTGTATTAGGCAGAATTTTAAAAGTATGCACTGAAAGAAACAGAGTGTGGGCCCTCAAGAGAGAGGGGCACTATTTTCTGGAGCTGGGAATAGTTGTGGTTTTATATTTCAAGTGGGTAGAAACTCACAGAATCTGTGGCTCATTTTACAGGTCAAAGTCATGAGCCCAGGTGTGTGCCTCTCT